AGAAAAAAAGAGAGCGAGAAGAAAAAAAAAGCACTTATAATCCAATCATAATTTTTTTTTTTTTTTTTTTTGGTACTGGGGATCAAACTCGGGTCCTTGTGCTTGCGCAGCAGGTAGCAAAATCCAATCATAAATTTTGATGGATAGTGTTTTAGATTCAACACATAGGCATAGATTCTTTTTATATAATAGCAGCATGCTATATAAAACATTTTTGCAACCCAATTATTTTTTATTGAGATATAATACACATGTCATAAAACCCTCTTCAGGTGCACAGTTCATTGATTTTTAGTACCAATTTATATGGTTGTGTAATCAACATCATTACCTAATTCCAGAATTATTTCATAATGCCATAAAGAAACTGGATTTCTTCCCTCTTGCCAGTCCTCCACAACCACAAATATACTTTTTGTCTCTATGGATTTGCTCACCTGGACCATTTCATATAAACTCATATAATAAATGGCAGTTTGCACCTGGCATTAGTATTTTTAAGGTTCATTTATGTTGTAGTGTATGTCAGTACTTTGATTCATTTTATGTGGAAATACCACTTTTGTTTAATCCAGTTAGTGGTTAATAGGCTTTTAGGTTGTTTCTGATTTTTACTGTTATGAATATATTTCTATGAACATTTGAGTACCAATTTTTTCAATTCTCTAGCATTTACTTAGGTATGGAATTGCTGGATCATGTGGTAACTTGATGATTGTTTTGAAGAACCACCAAACCATGGTGGCTTTTACCATTTTACAGTCCCATCACCAATGAGTGAGGGCTCCAATTTCTCCATGTATTTTCCAATGCTTGTTATTTTCTCTCCTTCAGTCTCTGGTCTCCCTTGTGGGTGTTAATGTGGTATCTCATTGTGGTTTTGATTTGCATTTTCCTAGTGATTAACAGTGTCAAGCATCTTTTAAAGTACTTGTTGTCCACTTCTAAATCTTCTTAGTAATGATGTCTATTAAAATCCTTAGCTCATTTACAAAATTGCCTTAGTCTTCTTCTTATTGAGTTTGAGGAGTCCTTTTTTTTTTTTTTAAGATCTCACTGTGTAGCCCAGGCTGGCCTCAAACTTGAACTCACAGTAATCCTCCTGCCTCAACCTTTCCAGTGCTGGGATTACTGGCATGTACCACTACACTCAGCCAGTTTGAGGAGTCTCTGATATACAATATTCTAGGAACATTTTGCAAGTATTTTCTCCCATTCTGTTGGCTGTCTTTTCACTTTCTTGGTAGTATTTTTGAAGCACAAAAGCTTTTAACTTTGATTAAGCCCAGTTTATCTATATTTTTCCTTTTGTTGCTTAAGGGGTCAAATCTGAGAAATCACTGCTTCATCTGAGGCCATGAAGAATTTTATATTTAACTCTTATATGTAGGTCTTTCAGCCATCTTGGATTAATTTTTGTATATGGGATGAAGTAGGAATCCACATTCATCCTCATCTTATTTACTTTTCTCTTGTTGCTTAGACAAAATACCAGACACCTGAAGTTAAAAGAGAAAAGGTTTATTTAGCTCACAGTTTGTAGAGGTTTCAGTCTATAATTGGCTGGCTCCAAGGCAGGGTGGCATTGTAGAGGAGAAACAGTTCATGGTGGGCAGAAGATAGCAAAACACGGAAGGGATGACCACAGCTCTTTCTGTCCCTTATATCTTATTCAGGCTACTTAGGACAGGTAGCACTCATACCTTTAATCCTAGTACTCATTGCACCATGAATCAATCCTAGTGTCACACACCCTAGAACCAGCCACCTCTGAGAAACCCCCACCTATACTGCTTGAGGCTTTTGGGGGACATCTAGACACAAGCCTTAACAATCCTTTTGCATGTAAATATCCAGCATTCAGCACATTTGTTGGGATGACTATTCTTCCCCCTTAAATTGCCTTGGCAAGAAGTGAGGATATAGTTCAGTGGTAGAGCACTTGCCTAGCATACTCAATACCCTGGATTCAATCCCCAGTTCCACAAAAATAAACAAAACAAAAATTAAATAAATTGCCCTGGCAATTAAAAATGTAATTCTTATTAAAAAGCAACTACTTTTAGCCTTATTTTGTGGTCATCATTGTATGCTAATAAATGTACCTTATCCAAGTTTTTTTAATGGTACCGGGGATTGAACCCAGGGCCTTATTCATGATAGGCAAGTGCTCCACCACTGAGCTACATCCCAAACACTTTTTAAAATTTTATTTGAGACAGGATCTCATTAAATTGCCCAGGCTGGCCTTAAACTTGGGATCTTCCTGCTTCAGCTTCCTGAATATCTGGGATTACAGTTATGTTTCATTATGCCCAGCTTACTATAGCATCTTTTTTTTTTTTTTTTACTATAGCATCTTTTAAAAATAAATTTATAGTGAAATGTAACAAACATAAAGGGAAATGTAAATATCATAAGTATTTAACTTGACCAGTTTTCACAAAGTTTCGCATCCTTGTAACCACTATTCAAAACAAAAATAGAACATTACTAGCACTCCAGAGGCCTGCTTTGTGCCTGTTCCTAGTCACTATCTCTACTTCCTCCTGGGTGGTACCCTCTATGCTGGCTCCTCCCACTGTAATGTAGCTCCACCTGCTTTTGAACTTCATATAAATAATATCGCACAGTATATATGCTTTTGCATCTGGCTTCTTTCATTCAATATTACTGCAAGGCTGCAGGTCTTGTGGGCTGCAGTAGTTTATTTATTTTCACTGGTTATTAGAAGCACAGCACCATTTTTTAGCACATTCACTTAACAAATATTCATTACATGCCAGGCCCTGCTCCAGGCCCTGGGATAAAGCAGGGGAACAAGGCAGAAGATTCCTGTTCCTTTACAGCTCATGTTCTCTTGGGTGAGAGACTAGAAGTCCTATGCAGGAAAGTACAAAATAGAGCAGGGTGTTGCAGTTGTGTACAGAACAGTCACTGAGAAACCACATGTAAGCCAAGACCTGAAAGAGGTGGGGAAGGAGCCGTGTAGTTTTCTAAAGGAAGAGCATTCCAAGTAGAGGGAACAGCAAGTGCAGGGGCCTGGAGGTGGCAGAAGGTTGGCATATTTCAGGACCAGCCAGGAGGCCAGGGTGGCTGGAACAAAAGGAGCGAAGGGAGACTGGTGGTGGTGGTGGAGAGGTCAGAGAGAGAGCTTGTAAGGACGCTGGCTTTTACCAAGTGACGTGGGAGTCATCAACAGATGCATGAAGTAATTACCTCTTTTGTGTGAGCCAGGGATCGAACTCAGGACCCTACCCTTGTGAGGCAGGCAGTGGAACCACTGAGCTAAATCCCTGGCTAATTAGACTTTTTAAAAGACTAACTCTTGGGCCAGGGATTTAGCTCAGGTGCTGCCACTTGCCTCGAAAGCACAAGGACCCGAGTTCGATCCCCAGTACCAAAAAAAAAAAAAAAAGACTAACTCTGGCTGCTGTACTGAAGCAGGATGGTAGCAGGAATAGTGGAGAGTGGCCAGCAGCTCTCTCGGAAACCCAGGTGAGAGATGATGGACATGAGGACCCCGGGTGGGTAAGAAGTGGCTGCCCCCTGGGGTTACTCTGGAGGCCAGGCTGAGCATTTGCTCCCGGCTTGCATGTGAGGTATAGTGAAGATGGGTTGAGTTGTTTTCCAGGTGCTCTGTCTGTTCCCTGCTGCTGGGCATTTGGGGTTCCAGCTTTTCACCATGACAGACGGATGGGGTGACCATCCTTGCAGGTCAATCTGCATGGTTAGGATGTGACTTTTGTGGCCAAAGCCCTAGAGCAAATCTCAGCCCTGTTGTCACAATTTGGATAGGTTAATTTTTTTGTGCTTCAGTTTCTTTGTCTCTAAATTAGGAATGAAAAGAATTAGTACCCTGTAGGTGAGATTTATCTGTGAAGGCCAAGACATTGTAAGCACTATGTGAATCCCAGTTATTTTGATTATTTTTTCTTTAAATAAGACTTCATATCTAAAAAAGATCCCAATACAAGTGTTTTCAAAAAGAGCATTTATATTAATACCTTAAATGGAAAACACTGTCACTTGCTTGGAAGAATAGGAACTCATAAAATAAATTTAATGGAAACAAAACAATGCTGTTAAGTGCTAGTTTAGATACTGTTGCATGGCCGAGTAGACTAGGCTGTGTTAGAGGCGGTGTCCAAGTTCTGTGAGTACCAAACTGGGACCTCTCTCCTCCACCTAGCAGAAGGACTGATAGAAAATGAAAAATGAGCAACTGTATTTAAAGGCCCTGTGCATGCTCCCCCCATGTGTCATTTGGGAACCTCACAGTATTAGAGCTTATAGATGGCCAAGGACTTGAGGATTCCTTAAAGGGGGCATCAAGTTCGTACTAGTAGCAAGAATTTTCTAGCTTTTTATTTCATAAAACATGGCCTAGTGTGTGTGTGCGTGCGTGTGTGTGTGTGTGTGTGTGTGTGTGTGCAGGGGCGGGGGTGTTGTTCTCAGGACTCTCTTTCCCTCCTGGTTGAAACATGGCCCAGAAAGGCAGATCCTAGCTGGGCATGGTGGCACACCTGTAATCCCAACACTCAGGAAGGCTGAGGCAGGAGGATCCCAAGTTCAAGCCCAGCCTGGGCAATTCAGAGATATAGGAAGACTGTTTCAAAATAAAAAAAATAAAATAAAAATAAAGAGGACTGGGGATGTAGCTCAGTGCAAAAGTCCTGGGTTCATTCCCAAGTACTGAAAAAAAAAAGAAGAAAAAGAAAGAAAGAAAGGAAGGAAGGAAGGAAGAAAGAAAGAAAAAGAAAGAAAGAAAGAAAGAAAGAAAGAAAGAAAGAAAGAAAGAAAGAAAGACAGACAGACACTAGTCAGGCCCCGCAGTTCCAAGGCAAAACCCATCTGTCTCATCCAGCCCCAGGCTAGACCAGCAAGCCTGAGGCCTGAGTCGCCGGCAGCTGGCAGGAGGGGCGTGGCTGCTCAGGCAACCTTGCTGTGGGGCCGGGGCGGGGGCGGGGGCGGGGACGGGGCGGGGAGAGGGGCCGGGACGGGGTGATCGCCGAGCTCCAGAGCCGGAGCCTGGGCTGACACAGAGAGTCAGGATTTCGTCGCCGGTGGCTGGGCGGTGAGTTCCGTCCACCCCTTGCCTGTGCTTTGCGCCGGGGGTGGATTGGGGGCACAGAAAATGAGCGCCGAGGGTCCCGCCCCCAGACTCGGACACCTGGCTCCACAGCTGTCCTGGCTGCTGGGTTTGGGGAGAGGCTGCCTCAGTTTCCCTGGGGGCATCCCGCGGTGTAGACTAGAGGTAGAAAGAAAGGGGGCGTGTCGGGGTTGGGGCTCCTGTGGTAACCGGATGAAGAGGTTTTGGGGGCGGGGCCGAACGTCCCCCGGGAGCCTTGAGGTCTGAGGAGAGGCTGTGCCCAGGGGTGGCAGTTCCTTCCTCTTGTTAGGCCTCATCTCTCACCCGACCTGCTACCCTTTGACTCTTACAGAAGTTGCCCACCTCCTCGGCGAGTGTGAGAGCCGGGTTCCAATCCTGTCCCTGTCCAGTCAGGCCCACACCCAGGGCTTCGGAAGCATTCTCCCAGCTGTTGGCCGCTTCTGGCTTCTCAAGCTGGTGCAGCAGCCGTCTGGTCCTACCTGTTTCTCACAGATTACAAAGCTCCCCTCACCCCATGGGGGTGGATGTCCTGCAGCTGGATGAGGACTGGAGGCTGGGCCCCTGGCTCCCTGCCCTGTAGCCTCAGTTTCCCCATGGACTGTGCTTGGTCTCCTCCAGGTTCCTGGTTCTGGGGAGGGGAAAAGCCTGCCCTGTCACCCTTCCCTGGTCCCTTGGTGAGGAAGCCCAGAGTCACAGCCTCACTGCCACTGCTTCTGTTCTGCGGTCCCCATCCTACCAACACAGTGTGCCAGAGCCCTGGGTTTGCTGGTCACTCCAGGCCCCTTGGCCTCTCTGTGCTTGGGGTCTGAAGCTGGAAGGGGACCATCTAGTCCCATTCCCACCCCTCTAGGTCAGAATCCTTCTGCTGCATAAACCCTGAACCTAGGAGCTTGCTTCTTAGAAGGTGGCTGTTTGTGTCTTGCAGCTCGAGTTTCATTTCAAGTCTGTGCCTTGGGGATCCTGCCCCTCCATCCATATCTGCTTCCTGAGCAGATGTGCTGAATAAATTCATCCATTCATTCATTCCATCTTTATCAATGCACTGGATGACACATGGGGGATATAGTAGTAGAAAAACCAGACATCTCTCCCTGCCTTCATGGAGCACACTGTCGAAAAGAGCATCAGCAAGGAAATAAGTAAACACCTGGCATGTTGCGTGGTGAGAAGTACAGTGGAGAAAAATAAAGCAGGGAAGGAGGACAGGGGGCTGGGACGGGGTTTGCAATTTTATACAGCACAGGCAGGGAAGGCCTTTCTAGACGGTGACCATTGAACAAAGTCATTAGGAACCATTTGACTGTCTAGGGCAGTGATGGCGAACCTTTTGGAACTTTCAATGAGACAAACAGCCCACTGCGGTCCGTGTGCCATAGGTACAATACCACTGGTCTAGGGGAAAGGAGAGAGCATCTGTGAAGCAAAGAGCTTGTACCAAGGCCCTAAGGCAGGAGCATGCCGGACAGGAGTGGCCCTGGTTTGCTATAAGAATAAAGAGAGAAGGCCAGTGTGGATGGAGCAGGGTGGGAAGTAGAGGATTAAGAGGTAATGAGTGCAGAAAGGTAAAGAATGGGGAGGTGAGGGTCTACTGCATAGGGCCTTGAAGGGCACTGTGAAGGCTTTGAGTGACACCACTCTGAGTGACACCAGAGAGCTCTGTGCCGAGGAGTCACCTGCTGTACCCAGAGGCTGGCAGGCTCACCTGGTGACGGTAGGGGTGAGAGCCTGGGAGCCTTCACCATGGCATAGAGAGGTGGAGAAAAACCTCAGGCTTTCACATTTGGGATCCATTTTTGAAGGTTGGGCCCCTAGGATTTGGGATGCACAAGAGATGGGACCAAGGATGAATCTGAGGCTTTCAGTCTGAGCACCTAGAAGTTTGGACCACTGTCACTGAGATGGACACTCTTTGGAGGAGATCAGGAGTTTGCCCTTGTGCCTGTCCTGTTTGAGATGCTCCTTAGGCATGCATGTGATGCTGAGGAGGCAGCTGGGAAGAGCTCCCAGGGTCGGGGCTGGTGATAACATTTTGGGAATCATCACATAAAGTTGGTGTTTAGAGCCCAGAGCATGGCGGGGGGGCGGGGGGGTGTTGCTTAGGGAGGGAGTGGTGTGGAGAAGAGGAGGCCAATCATGATGCTCTGGGGTCCTCAGAACTAAGACTAGCCAAGGAGATAGAAACAACTGCCCCAGAGGTGGGAAGATAAGCCCTGTGTCCTGGGGGTGTGGGAAGAGTGCTCCTAGGAGCAGCAGAAGGGAGCCCCCAGGACTGATGCCCATGGGAGAAAGGGCATTGGAGCTGAGCAGGGAGGGGTCCAGAGGGGGTTTTAGTCTGTCTGCACCCCAGTGGGGACACCTCTTAGAGAGAAGCTCAGAGGTGGGATGGAGAGGGGAGCTTGGCTATCGGAGAGAAGGGATGGGTTCAGTGCCCCAGGGGAGGCAGAGGTCCCCCTGGGACCTGGGTGTTTCTGAGTCGGCTTCCCAACCTCTCTCCCCTCAGGCCAGCAGTGGAGGTTTCAGCACTTAGTAGAGCACCTGGCCCCGGGCTCAGATAAACCAGGCTGGCTTGGATTTGGGGAAGGAAGTGGTGTCAGGGTGTAGACGTGGGCTTGGGGGTAAGTTAGGATCCTTGTGAGTCACCTGCTTATCCTCTGTTTCAGCAAGGAGGAGAGGACAGTAGTGACTTGGAACTTGTAATAACCGAAGTAGAGAGGAAAAGGCAATAGAGATAAACAGATGCATTTGGTCTGAAGAAGGGAAGTCTGACCAGGTACTAAATATTCAGGAAGATTTTAGGGACAGTTTTTATGAAATAGGTAAACATCTACCTGTCTTTCTCTCTCCCCCAATTTAAACGGAAGCAGGAGGAACTTAAGCTAAGACATGAGGAGGAACTTCCTGAGCTGGCTAGTGAGGACAGCCCAGAGGCCAGGTCTTCCTTTCCAAGTGTTTAAATTGAGATAGGGTAATTACAGCTTGGAGACTGGGGCTGGCTCTTGGTCTTTGGGAATTCCCCTTGCTCTAAGGTTTCCAGAAAACTGGCCTCTCCTTCCCTGGGCCAGGACCCTGCCATCACTAGCCTGGGTGTGTGTGGCTGGGCATCGTGCAGGTGGCCCTGGCCTTGGTGGTTTTGGGACAGGCCATGCTTACGAGCAGCTCATCTCCTGGGTGTGTCACAGGTCTCTGTGTCTCCATCTTTCGGAGATGGTGACAGGGATGCCCGAGGCTTTGAGCCAAAACAACCAAGACTTCCTGAGTCCTGAAGGGCTGCTTGTCTGGTTCTGGCTTCCTGCTGGTCCTTTTGGGATTTCCCCTGAGGGTGAGGTCTGTGGATGGCTCCAAGGCTGCCAAGCTTTTGTCTCCTGCCCAGATCGTGCCCAAAGATGGCCTGGCTGTGCTGGTTTCTTGGCTAGTGGGCCCTGTGGGGCCAGGTGATCTAGGGTCTCCAGATGGGACAGAAATAGCAGGTGTCCCGCCCTGGACATCCTCCAGGTGAGAGAGGGGGGTGCTCTCCTATGGCAACCCCGTTTTCACCTTCTTTTGATTCCTGGCTGGACCCATGCTCTCTGGGCTGGGGTCTGAGGGAAGGTGCTGGCCCCATTTCTGGGCTGCTCTCAGAGCGGGCACTGGTTATTTTCCCAAGTCCTGGGCAGGGGTGTGCTGGGGGCTCACAGTACCTTCTTGTTATCCCCCAACCCTCTACATCTAGCCCTGCTTGGAGGTGGGTACAAGGAAGAGACCCTCTTGGCCAAGGTGAACTGCCTTAATTCCTGGTTTACAGCAGACTCTGCAGGAGGGATGTCCTCCCTCCCAAGCTGCCAGACACACAGGTACCCTGCTATCTCAGTTTCCCTGTCTTGCCAGCACAAGGCCTCCACCCTTTATGTTGGCAGCATTCTGAGCTGGAAATTTCTTCTCTTGCTTACCTCAGCTGTGATAAGAGCACAGGCCCAGCCCCTGTCCTCTCCCACTGGATTTGATTCATGAACATTCCCACAGCTCCTCCTCAAGCCCAGTGTGGTGCCAAGCTTCAGGATGCCAGGATGAGAGGATCTGGGTTTCCGGTGGGCACAGCAGGGCATGAGACACATAAACAGTCAACAGGAAAGTTGTAAACTCCCCAGGCCACTTGGCGTCTGGTCCCTTGAATGTCCCAGAATGTCCCTGATTTATAAAAAGAAGCTGGTGTCCTTCTTTTTTCATGCCATCACCCTTTCACTTTCGATTTCCTGGGCACCACACCAGCCCTTGTCCCCAGGCCCTGTGACAATAGCAGAACCAACCATGCTGAGAGATTTTCTCTGCTGTATAGCTCTCAGCAACCAGAATCTGAGGGCTGAGCCTGACCAGGCCACTGAGGACAGTGGCAGGGCAGTGTGTGTATGTGGTGGTGAGTGTGTTTGTGGGAGGAAGTGAGGACATGTGCATACGTGCATGTGTGTGTGTGTGTGTGTGTATGTGTGTGTGTATGTAGTGCTGAAAGGGGCAGTGCACCACTGAACTGCATGGCACCATGATTTTGTACTTCACCTAGATTGGGATTCTTGCAGCAATGTTCTGAGCCACCCATTGGGTAGCAGTGGTGTGTCCGCAGGAATGGGCTCAGGCCCCTTCAGGGGTCCCATGTATAAGGCAGGTGGAGTTGTGCTTGGGTTCATCACTTGCCTGTGTGCCTCAGTTTCTTCCTCTGTAAAACAGGGCTAGTGATACCCTCTACTTCAGAGTAGAGGACTGGGAGAGTTAAATGAATTCGTACAGGAAAGCACTTAAAGGAGTGCCTGGCACACCGAGGTGCTTGATAAATATTAGCTGTTCCTCAGGCTACTTGGCCTGAATCCAGCCAGCTTGGAAGAGCGCTGGAACCTTGCCCCAAAGGGAACAAATTCCCTGATCCCTCAGGAGACACTGCTCCTCATAGTAGCTCCCAGCCTTTTTAAACTTCTTAAGCTAGGACCAAGCATGAATGTGGGAGCTCTGTGTGTGTGTGTGTGTGTGTGTGTCTTGCTGAGATGTCCCCACTGGGCTTGAATGTGAGGTCCTCTTCCTCAGTCTCCAAGATTGCAGAGATTACAGGTGTGTGCCACCAAGACTGGTGAGCCAGTGATCTTGATTTAATTCTTGGTTGCTTCAAACTCTCTGTGGAACTTTAAGTCAGTTTCTGGCTTTCCCCAGGTCTCAGTCTGCACAGCTACAAGATGGGGAGCTTGGACTGGATAGCCCTGGGGTAGGACCATGGCCAACTTAAACTTGAGCTGGGATAACTTGGCCCTGTCCCTGCCCTGCCTGGCTTCTGGACAAGTCCTGCTCTGACCTTGCTCCTTCTTTCCCCAGGTCATGAAATGAACTCACAGGAAGCTTTCCAGGCACAGAGGAGCCAGCTGGTGGGGCTGCTCGTGTCAGGGTCCCTGGAGGGCTTTGAAAGGATCCTGGACTGGCTACTCTGCTGGGAGGTGCTCTCCTGGGAAGAGTACGAGGGCCTCTGCCTCCCGGGCCAGCCTCTTTCCCATGTGGCCAGGCGCCTGCTGGACACGGTCTGGAACAAGGGCAGCTGGGGCTGTCAGAAGCTCTTTGAGGCTGTCCAGGAGGCCCAGGCTGACAGCCAGCCCCCTGAGCTGCACAACAGCTGGGACCCCCACTCAGGCCACCCTGCCCAAGACCTGCTGAATCACCGACCAGCCATTGTCAGGAAGCTCTACGGCCACGTGGAGGATGTGCTGGCTGTGGCCAGGGAGCGGGGTTTCATTAGTCAGTATGAATGTGATGAAATCAGGTTGCCCATCTTCACAGCATCGCAGAGGGTAAGGCTCTCCATCCTGGGTCAGCAGAATTCACAGGAAATGGGTAGTCACCAAGATTAATGTTTCTTGGAAAGTCAGCCCCATGGGGTAACTTGGTCTGTGGGATTCCCCCTGAAAAGTTAGTCAGGCAATTAAAAGTTGCTCTCCACCACTCGCAATGTACCACTTTGATGAGAGGAAGTAGGCTGTGGTGGCCAAGGGCTGAGCATCTAGAGCCAGTATGATGCAGGTTCAAGGTCAGCCTTCTACATGGAATTTCTCCATCCTTAACTTCTCCCACTTCAGGTTCCTCATCTGTAAAAAAATGACAATGGTCGTTTGGTACTTATCCTATAAGGTTTTGGGGAGAACTCAATGACTTAACCCAGTGTCTAGCACCTGGAAAACACACATTAATATCAACTCTGACTGCTATTATTTGTTATGAATGATATTCTATTCTTGCATGCATTTACTGCTGTCTATTTTAAATTAACAGCTCAATAGAGCATAATCCTTCACTATATTAAGTTGGTGTTTAATAATTAATACAGCACACTACATACTATGGTTTAAATGCCCTCCTCGGATTTCTGATCATAGATGTTCAGAGTTGTGATTTAATTGTTCCTGAAAAGATGATGATTCAACAGAGACCACAAGGTAAAAAAAGTGTCTTCTGGGTGTTTTTGAAACTCTTTGTTTTATTTTCCTCCAAACAATGATTCTCAGGCTTCCTGTGAGGCAAATGGAAAACAGTCATTAGCATTCTACTTTATAGACTGGGAAATTAGAGCACAGGCAAGTGACTGGGGTAACAGTAGTAAAGCAGAGGGCCAGTGTGGGACCTCAGGCCTTGACTGATTCATTCATCATTAACTCATTCAGTCATGTATTCAGCCAGAATCTATTGGGTGCTTACTACAGTCAAGGCTCTGTCTTAAAGTTTGTTGTCATAGAGTGCTTTGCATATAGTAGATATTTGATAAATACTTCTTGATGAGAAAGATGAATTATTGAATGAATGAATGGATTGTAATTACATTGGAGTGTTAGGGTGGGCTGAATTGCTGACTTCCTGGTTTTTATTTTTATTTCTTTAAAATTTATCATTTTTTAATGTTCAATGAGTCTAGGTTAGCCTAGGTTGAAACTGATGAAATAAAGGACTGTAAGGCTGATTTAAGGCTAGCTCAGGATTATTAAGTATTTACAGATCAGATGGGATGCAGTCCCCACTAACTAACGCATAAAACCTATAGTTACACCCGGAGAACCAGCTTTTTGTGTCTTTTTCTAAAAATTAATTTTATTGGTACATTTTGGGTATACAATATAATGACATTCATAATGGGAAATTTGCACCTTTACATAATCTCTCTTAGTTCTTGTTTTTTCCCCCTTCCCCTGCCCTCCCTTCAACCCCTCCATTCAACCCCTCCATTCCTCCCTATTTACAAAGACTTTGTTTCCATTTTTAATTTTCTCATATTAATTCCATTCCCTTCTTTCTTTTCCCCTACCCCTCCCACTTCCCCTTCCTCTTTGCTTCTTTTCTTCCTGTTTCACATTATCTATTATACGTTTTAGTCCTTATTTACACTTTCAGTTTCTCACACCAGAGAAACCATTCAGTATTTACATGTGTGTCCCATTTATTTAACTTAAGAGTATCGCCTCAATGTGCATCCATTTAGCTATAAATGTCTCTAATTTCTCATTTTTTATGGCTGAGTAGTACTCCATTTTATTA